AAAAAAAAAGAAAACAGTAACAGCTGCACCATCAGACAGGATGTGATGACAAATTTGACTGAAGGGTAAACGATATTTTCTTGTTTTTTTTATGTTCTTTTGCTTTTGTAAGAAAACAAAATTCTTTCAGTTTTTGTGTTTATGTCAGTCAACCAAAATAAATTTAAATACCCAGTTTTCCTTTTTTAAATTCACTTCCTGCTATGTTCCCATTAATTAAAGATTGACAGATTAAAGGAAAAAACAGTAGTGCCTGCTCTGTTGGTTTGGGTCCACATCGCCGTGTTTCACATCGATGAGTATGTGAGGGTTAGATCACTGTCATCAGTGGGTGGCTGCATGGACAGACACTACGCTGCAAAGGTAAGCGCTGCACATGCAGGCTTGAAGGAGACTAAGTTGGTTATTTGCTGGGTTTTTGTGGACGATCGAAGTGAAACATCAGATGAAGCTGAGCTGTGGCAGCAGACGCTTGTTTGTTATCATGACCAAGCCAACGAGGACCTCTAACTTCAATTCAATTTTATTTATATAGCACACAATCACAACAACAGCTGCCCCACGGTGCTGTTTGTTTCACTGATGGCATTGTCATTAAAATGCACCACACCGTGGATGTTCTTCTATTAGATCCACAGTGTGGCTCACAGTCAGGTGTTCTAGGCGACTTTAAAGGGAAGGTGATTATAAATCGTTAAAGTTCTTTTCATCACTTTTATCTTATGGTGAAACATTTCCTGATGTTAGCAGTCCAGGATGGTAATACCATAATCCACAGTGCCTGAAGTCTGACAACAATCTGAACGATGTGCGACGACGAGATTTTCCTCTGTTGGAGATTCTGCACTGTCCTCCAAACATCTTTTCTATTCTGTACGTGGCAACACACACATTCATACAGATGTTGGATGTTAACTGCTGGGAAAATGCTGAGAGCCAGTTTTCTTCTTTGAAGCATCCAAACATGCCAACTTACTTTATCAGTCCTGCAGAAAAACATTTAATCCAGGAAGAGCTTATTTCCCTTCTCCATTAGCTCTTTCCACAAAATATTTCCAGGAAGCGCAGCGTCTCCTCGGGCTCTGGAAGTTCCTCCACTTTTCATTTTCACTTTCCAAGAATTGTCAGAATTAGAGCAAAACTAGGCTGATGCATATTAAGAAATGAGGGAGTCGAGATTAAAAT